AGCAAAAATCACATGGTCCTACAGTGATCCAGAATCTGATTTTGGTAAGGCTGGCAGGAATTTTGATTCCAGTGCATGTCCTGGCTACAATGTGGTGTCTGACCCTAAATGAAAGGCCTAAGGATATGTCTACACTACCCTCCTAATCGAACTAGGAGGGTAATGTAGGCATACCGCACTTGCAAATGAAGCCCGGGATTTGAATTTCCCGGGCTTCATTTGCATGAAGCCGGCCGGCGCCATTTTTAAATGCCGGCAGTTCGAACCCCGTGCCGTGCGGCTACACGTGGCACGGAGTAGCTAGTTCGGATTAGGCTTCCTAATCCGAACTAGCTGTACTTCTCCGGGAAATTCAAATCCCGGGCTTCATTTGCAAGTGCGGTATGCCTACATTACCCTCCTAGTTCGAATTAGGAGGGTAGTGTAGACATACCCTAAGAGAGTTTAGTGAGACCTGACTTCATTTTGGCATTGAGGGATCAGAGGCTTATGAATTTATGCACAATTTCACTTTTCTTTTTATGACCCCCAATATACAAATTAGCCTTGAGTAAGATGTCAGATTGTTTGTTTGTCATGTTCCTCATCCCTTATCATCATAAAATTGCTTGTTGGTTGTTTTTCCAACCTGTAGGCACACCTCACCCTGCTATGTGGGGAGCTGTACCTTTAAGAGGTTCTGGCAAGAGCTAGTTGGAAGTCATCGTTATCTTATGCAGAGGTCCATGGTCCACAATAATGGTCAGTTAGAACTCAGACCTCTGCCAGATTCCTGGGCTTGGTGGGATCGCTGCAGACCACAGGACTTCTCTCACATCCTCTGAAGAGCTTGGACAGGTTCTTGCCACCTTTACAGCTTCTCTGGCTCTTCCTGGCCTGAGAGGAAGTCAAAGTGAGTGTGGCATGATCAGCCACTAAGCTGTCTGTCTAATCTCTCTGGTCCGTCTGTCTTCAGCATTGTCCACATTGCAAATTTATCCAATGAGATTTTGGTTTCTGCTAGACAGTAAGAAGTGGCCGCCCACAGATGATGTTCAGCCCTGCCTTTGGGGGAACCCTCTCTGACTGTTGACCTTCCCCATGTTCTGAGGAAGAACAGCCAGTCGGAGTGGTTGTCCCCTCCCTCAGAAGCCAGAGGAGATCTTAGGTAAAGAAGGGGGAGAGGAAACAGCTTGATACCATTTCCACAAGAGGTGACGGCAGGGGAGGGAGCAGAAAGAATACCCCACTTCAAGGTGGCTCTACTCCCTCTTTAATGTCTTGGCTTCTTGGTGCTCCCCCATCTTCTCTCTTCATTGTCACAACACTAGCCTGTAAAGGGAGCTTCAGTTAATAGCCCCTGCCCAGGAGATACCCTCTGTCCAGGTTAGGGATGCGAGAGAAGTCCCCTGGGGCTGCAGAAGGAGCAGAAGTGTTTGGTGTGGGCAAGGGACAGCTTTGGGGTTCCAAGAGGAGAACTGAACTGGTGGCAGGGTGAGTGTGTAATTCCTTGCTGGGCTGTGGCACTGTCATTGGAACTTAGTCGGGTATTGCAGTAAGAGCCAAAATCGGCTTGCTGTGTAAATTCAAGAGAGTTGTCAGCACAGTGACTGTTATGTAGCCATTGCAGTTTGGCAGGGAAATTAATGAGAAAACAAACAGAGAAAAAAATCATGAGCCAATTTAAAAACCAATCAATCCCTCAGCTTCATGATTTGGGGTCTCTGAATCATGATTACTGAGCATTTGGGATTGGCGACCTGTGTATGGTACCGTATGCCAGAAATAATATTTATAGCTGTGTAATAGTCTGAGCCCAATTCATCCATGGGGGCAGGAACTTTCATTTGCAGCCCCTGCTTCCAGGTCAGCTGCATGACACTGAGAGGTTCCTCCCAGAAGAGGGCAAGTGGCATGGCTGTTGATGCCTTTTGCCAGGGGTTTTACAAGAGAAGAACAGCTGTAAAATCTACGCAGGGCCAGGCACAACCAAGAAGTTTGTGGGGCCCAAGGCAGTGCACCGTGGTTGGCTGCGCCATGGCACTAGGAGGCTCCCAGCCAGCACAGCAAGCAAGCGGCCAGGTGCTGGGCAGTGCGGGGCCCTGAAGGCATGGGGCCCAAGGCAAGTACATTGCGCACCTAAGGCTGGGTCTGGGCAGGGCTGCACAAGCGGTTTGCCTTGAGAGGCTGCTTGGCAGTGGTACACTGCAGCCAGCCTCACCTCCTTCTCTTTCCTCTGCCCATCCAACAACTGGTGCTAAGCAATGCATGCACATATGTCATCAGTCTGGCCACATTGTTGTCTCATGTCTTGCCCCAACACATTGGGAAAAGGGCCAAAGAGATTTGGAAAGGGAAGATGGAACATTTAAAAAAAATAATCCTGTGCCAAAATCCTTTGGGGGACTCAACGCTGGTGGCAGAAAACACCATAAATGATAAAGTCCTTAATAATGAATGTTAAGTCAATTGGCAGCAGGCGCTGGGCATGCTGATCTCTAACAGCATGCTTAATTTTGCCGTCACTATCCTTGCTGAAGCGTACATAGGTATATTAATGTAAAACTTCTGGGTGTTGCTGATGGTTTTCAGTGCAATCCCACTCTCATCAAGATTCATATCATAATTCCTATTGAGTCCAATTGTGCAGTGTAAGACTCCGGGGTAGCTGCTCTTGTTTGTTAACTTTCCATTGGGATCAATTGAGTTTTGGAATGTGTCTGGCTGGATAGCTCTAGCAAGCTCTGTGGCATGTAAATGGTCATGTTTGTGATGCACTAGTCTCCAATGTAGGCATTAGGTTGGGGGTCTTTATTTGTGTTACTATACAATGGAATAAGTCACCGGCAAATCCTATGTCCCGCTGTACAAAGCTGGTTTTGCTGAAATGTCAGTAAACTTTCAATTAAATATCTCCATGCATGGAAGTGAAAAGTTTAATCTTTCAGCCAACAGCTTTCTTCAGACACGTGTAGTACTAAGCCATACCATACATTCATGGCTCCAAGCCCCCACATTAGCAGTTACAGCGTGCAACCCATATGTAAATAGAACCAAATCAAGCAAGTTACTTAAGTACATGTCTGATTTAAGACCAATGAGAGTACCCACTTTCTTAAAGTTATGCGTGTGCTAAAGCCCTATGCCGGATCAAGGCCACAAAGAATAAGTTGTAGTACAATAATTGTCTTCGGACAAAGATAGTAAATAAATAGAAAACCCAACCCTCTGACACCATGGCCAGTGAAAGCAGCCCCATTCTAAGAGTCTGATCCTATAAAGTACTGTGCACCTCTTGAAATGTGAGCATCCTCAGTGCCTATTGGCTTAAAAGGGAGCTGATGCTCTCAGCACCATCTAAAAGCTACTTGGCATCTTGAGAGCTTCACTCCTCTCTAGGCACTTAAGCTTCTATTTTCAATCACTTGCAACTCCCTCAAAAAATCCTCCTTTGGGAATAAATTCCCCCGACTTCTGTTGAGCTGAGAAGCAAATCTTTGTGGTGTAATTCAGATCTATTTAATTGCCTTTAATTTCATTGAAATATAGGGGGAGGGGATCTTTCCCTTCTCCAACTCTTGAGATGGGAGTGTCTGTACACAATTTTTGAATTAGCCCACCCCCCATGAAAAAGCAAATACTGCCAGAGACAGTTTATTTCATTTTTCCCTTTGAACGTCCTGAGATGGGCAATATTCTATCCTGGAGTAAGTTCGTTATCTTCTGAGCCATTGGGCTAGAAAACTGGGATTTTATATCTTCAAAAACGAGCAATTCTCAGGTTTTCACTGAATGACAGCACTGACTTTTAAACGTACACATCTAACTATGATATTCCAAAGGCAGATATTGGAGTGTTTACAAAAACCATGTCTGATCCAAAAGCCATTGAAATTAATGGAAAGATTCACCTTGACTTCATGTTAGAGCAGACCCTTTTACCTGTACTAAAGTGCACTTAAACATACACAGATCTTTAGGTATTTAGGTCAGAAGAACATAAGATCCTTTAGCTCCACAAACACAGACTTTTAATTAGCAGCCAAAGCACTTTAGTTTAGCCAGTCAGTGGAACAGATAAGCAGTCGACAGTGTCTGACATTCCATATAGTAGATGGCAGTTTTACATATGCATTTATATGGAACCGGTGGCCAGTATGTTGCAGTGTGTTAACTTGATTATGGATTTATCTCCAGACTGAGCAGTGCTACTGCTTCAGATTTTGATCAGCCCCAGTCTTTCTTAATTCCCACTGAGCAATGTGATTTATTAGTTGAGAGTCTGGGTATCTAGCTTTAAATGGAGAAATTATTTGCCACCACTGGAAGTGAATGTTGCCATTCTCTTCTCATTGAGATGCTAGCATCAGCATTTCTGACAAACTATGCAGTGGAGGCAGATTTCGAGTACATTTTTCAAATTTACCCAGTGTTGCTCAGGTCCTTCAGGGCTGTGGGGTGGGGGAGGTGCAGGAGTGAGGACAGGAGGTTGGGGGGCAGGAGGGTGCTCAGGAGGGGAGGGCTCGGGGAAGGCTCAGGGTGGGAAAAGGGGGGGCTCAAGCTACAGGGTAGGAGCTGCTGGTGGCTTACTTACAAAAATGCATCATTGTTATTATTCATTTCCCCATTGTGGACTGTTAAAGTGTGCACTGTGATATTTAAATAGATAAGAAAAAAAAGTCTCTACCTAAAGGAACGTTTAATAAAATTCAAATAAATGCAACAAAAGCAAGAGAGAGACACGCAGAAAAATGCAGAGGACACAAAGTCTCCTTGCTCAGAGATTACTTTGGACATAAAGTTTAGCAACTGATGGTAACTTGCTAGCTTTACAACTTCTTATTATATAAATTAATAGTCCCTCATTATTTCTGCTAAAAATACATATTTACTATGACCACCAGGGGGACCCTTTGCACTATGTCACCTATTCACCATGTAACTGTTCTAATGATGTATTTATATCAGAGCCACAGGATACTACAGGAGGTTATATATTCCGTTTTTCCCAACCGGCTTACCTGTGAATCCTGGCCGGCAGTTACACACATAACCTGATGCTCTGTGGTAGCTGAACTCTTCTGGCAGTTCTGGAATACGTCCATACCAGGATGTCCAGGACCTCTCCACACATTCACTCTCATAGGAGCAGGGATTACTGTTACACTCATTCACATCAATCTCACAGTGGGAACCTGCATAGCCTGTGAACAGAAATCAGAAGGTGTTTAACTCAGTCTTACAAAACTTATGAGTCTCCCTGGACAAGTAAGCCACTTAAAATGTGTGTGAAGTTTCAGTTCTCCCAGGGAAAAGATTGCTTCCAAGCTTGTAGTTTCTCAACAAATGCCTAAGAGAATATTAGTCCTCAACAATATTCAGAGTGTTATTGTCAAACAATATACATGGTGTATGGGAGAGCAACAAGTAGTCAGAACCAAGATTCTGGATTTGAAAATATTGAGCACCATGAACTCTGGATAAATCTGGATACAAACTTTGTAACATGCCAAACCAGAACCTTGAATCTGAATGTCCTCTGAGGTTCAAAAGGAGCTGTTAAGATTTTTATGTGTTCATTTTTAACCATTTTCTTTCTGCTGCTGTTTTATGGTTCCAAAAATCCCCAGCAAGAGGGTCTATTTTCATGGTACTTACTAGAAGTAAGAAGTTTTGTCAAACAAAGGAGAAAGACAATTCTTATAGTATTGTTTGCCCAGCTGTGCAGACCCAAAAGAGTATAAATGTGTATGATAAGCATCCATACTTTAAGGTGATTAGTGGGATGGAAGCAAACTTTTAAGTTTTGCCCATTACTGCTCCAAGCTTTTCTTAGTTTTTATGTGCATGTTTGTTCAGTTAGTATTCTTTGCCCAAGAGGAACCTTACTTGGAAACAGCTGGCCTTTTCCAGCCATTGCTTTTTTTCTGTTTTATTGGTTCAGTTTTTCCAAATACATCATTTACACCTTGATAATAAGCAAGTAGCAGATGTAGCTGGACTAGAAGGGAAAAAAACCTCAGATTCGAAAAGCTCTCAAGGAAGGGGAAATGGAAGAACCCTCAGCTTTCCCTCAATGCCAGTTCAATTGTACACACATTTCTAAAATGGCGAGGCATATAAAAAAGGATGGTGGTCCTGTGATTCAGGCAAAGGACTAAGAATCAGCAGACATGTTCTTAACTTGACTGCAAGTTTCATAAGAGTGTAGGCAAGTTAGATAAATTAATATTTATAAAGTGATTTTAGTTCCTTTAATGGAAGGCACTATAGTATTGCAAAGACTTGTTATTCCTGAGACTCCTGCATAATTCTGAGTCTATTTTATCGATGTATTGCCAATGCAACCACCACCTTATTATCTATGCTTCCACTACATTTTAGTAAGCAAAAAAACCAATCTATCGGCATGCAGACTAACCATAATAAGTCTCTCTCAAAACTATAATGTCTCCAACCTGGCTGGGGATGCAAGAGCATTTTCTCGAACAACAGACAATGAATTGGTTCCTCAGCACGAAGAGGCACAAAACTCTGAAATGGCACCCTGTTTAGTAACCCTTGTTCTAACTTGTAAGGGTGTGCTCAGAGACCCACAGGAGGTTCGTTTCCACAATCCACTTATAGCTCCATTTATTTCCAGTTGGTGCATTTAAGAGGTGGTGCAGGAGAACCTCCATTTTCTTTTCAATCAAATCGATTTTGTGCTGGTGACAGCAGCAACAGTTCCCACCTCTCATGGACTGATAAATTAAGCATGAAACTGGGAAATAAATCCCAGGTTATAGTGCCAATTGCACTAATGACTTGACTTAGTAATGCTTTGCTCTTTTGGGGTATGTCTACACTACAGCGCTAATTTGAACTAGCGCAGCTAGACTTAAAAACTAGTTCGAATTAGTGTTTTGCTAATTCGAACTAGCGCGTCCACACAGAGTGGACCCTGAACTGGGGTTAAGGATGGCCGGAAGCAGTGCTGGCAGGGCATCAGATGAGGACTTAGAGAATGGAGCTGCTGTCTCAGGCTAGCCGAGGGCTGTGCTTAAAGGGTCCCAACCCCCACCCCGGACAGACAGTTCTCAGGGGGTTTCCCGCTTGCAAACCAGTCCTGGCTTGGAGTGTCCTGAGTGCCCGCACTCGGCACATCACAGCACTCGGACATCAGCCCGGCTGCACTTGCCGCAGGCTGCCATCTGGGGAGAGGGGTCAATCGGGGGGCTGCAGGAGAGTTTCCACCCCGAGGTGCCCGCAGACCCACCCCAGTCCTCCCCATTGGGGGCTCGTACCCCATTCCTCCCTCACCTCCTTCCACTTACCTCTCCCTAGCCCCCCTTCCTGATGTACAAAATAAAGGACATGTGTGGTCAAAAATAGAAACTCTCTTTATTGAACAAAACTGGGTGAGACTGGGAAAAGGAGGTGGGAGAGGGGAAGAGATAGAGTGGGAGAGGGGAGGGCAACTACAACGATGAGGGGTTGGGAACAGGTCCCATATGAAGAGAGGCTAAAGAGACTGGGACTTTTCA